TCATTTGGCCTAAGCACTGGTACCAGGGTGTAAATAAAGGTTGGATCTCTACCTTGAAGCTGAGAAAATTGGAGAAGACGGCAGAGGGAATCCGCAAGGAGGAATGTATGAGGCTTGCCCCAGTTGAAGACAAGAGCTTAGGCTGAAATTTTATGTGGTTATAATTTCATAAAGGCAGAAGGGGGAAATTTGGACCATTGTGTGTTAAGGCTAGACTGGAGAAAGGTGGGGGAAATCTGCCACGTTATCTGAAACCCTAAACGCAATATCCGTCTGGTGCTATTCACAGCTTTGTAACTTCAGTATCAAAAAATATTTAAAGGTAAAATCTTAAAACCCATCCCATTTATACAGACAGTGGAGGACTATACATAGAGGGAGTTAGCGTCCTCGGACTCTGAAGAAAGAGCAATGAGCTTGGGTGTGGGCTGTCTGCAGCAAATCTATATAACCCGGAATGCCTCACTGCTGGTGTCTTTCTGCATGCACTGCATCCTCCCCAGGCAGCTGAGAGCAGCACACTGCAGTTGCAAACTTTTGAACATTCCCAGACATTTGCCACACCTTTTCCCAGGGGCATAACGCTGCATCGGAGATAGAAAACCTCACCTTGTCCCGCAGTTTCCTCTCCTTCCGCTCTTGCACCGTAGTCAAGTAATTCACTGCTGCATATTCCAGCACTGAGAGGAAGACGAACACAAAACTAACCCACAGGTAAATGTCCACTGCTTTGATGTAGGAAACACGGGGCATGGAGGCGTTCACTCCAGTGATGATCGTGGACATGGTCAGCACGGTGGTTATCCCTGGGAACACACCAGCAGCGAGAGCCTGTGAGGCACTTTCCAACCAGACTCTTCATTGCAACTACAGCTGTCATTACAATTTCTGACATCTGAATTTACCTTGCAGTGTTGTTTGTCACATTTGAGTGATGATTTTCCCTGCCTGAGGGTCCAAGCAGCCTTGATTTCTAACTGGAGTTTTCTTGTCTTTTCAGTGAAAACAGCTCTAGTTCAGGTCGCAGGGTGCTGCTAGCCTGGTTCCCCACCACACCACCAGCTTCCCACCCCACAGCCAGGCAGCAGCACTTTGACCCCATGCTGGCTGCACCCCATCTTTGGGCTCAGGACAGTCCCTGGAGGGGTACAAGTACACTGAGTTGGACTCAATGATCCTTATGTGTCCCTTCCAAGTTGAAATATTCTATGACTCTATGATTCTGAGTATCTCAGTTTCTAGTTCAAGCCCTCCACAGCAGCCCATCTGCTGCTGCTGCTGCTGCTGCCACCAGGTTCCCCAGGCCTGTGTTTTTCAACTGCTCCCGGGGAGTCCTGCTTTGTGGGGAGTCACAGAAGTTGCCAGCCTGGTCTGTGCCTTCCCGGCAGCAAGAGCAGAGACTAATGGGGCCCCACCTTACACCATGGGTGAGCATGATGACATCAGCAAGGGTAGGAGCCCCTGTAGTTCAGTGTTATCCTGGCTCTGAGGGAGGTTCTCTGTGGCACTCTAATCTCCAGGGCCAATTATGTCACATTAATGATCCCTTTGAAAGGTGAAGCGATGCATATAAGCACCAAGGACTGAATTTACAGGAGTATCTAGGTGCTAAAAAGTACTGCTAAAGGCAGTGCCTACATCTCCTGAAAAGCCATGGCCCAAAGCCTTTTAATGATGTTTCAAGGCAATGGATGCTGTTTCTAAACACAGACACGGATAACTGTGTGGATGCCCCATTGCCATCTCTGCTATGCCTCTATATATCCTCTCCACCAAGGAATATAATTTTAACAGCAAATAAAATCCTGAGGTGTGTTGCCTGGAATAAGAGGAAGCATGCTTGGCCTCAAAGTCTGCAAAAATACAAGGGCAGCTAAGTCTGCTAAGGGCAAAGCATCTGCTTTAGAAGTTTTATGTCCATAGCACAGTACTGCTCCCATGGTGACTCCTCTGACATATGGCTTCATCTGTCTGAAAGATGCTGCAAAAGGGGAAGCTGACTCCCTCACACCGCACTGTAAACTCATTTAACAAGTTGAACAACACAGCTCAGCTGACTGTGTTACCTCCACCTTCCCTCCTCCAGCAAAACTCAATAAACTGAAGTTTTGTCAGGGCTGCTAATACTGGTTTTTGCCTTCTTGCTCACTGAAGTCCCTGAAGGATACTGACACTTTGGCTCTGTATGTGCCTTGTCTCTGTTAACAGCCATAAAAGCAGAGTGGGACGTTTGCTCTCTGATTTGCACTGCGTGCAGCTAGCGCTTGTGCAAGCAGGCGAGGCAATTCGCTTGGCAGCGCAGGGCAGATGGAGAGCAGGCACCAGGGCCAGTCCCCTTCACTGGCACACGTGCGTGGCATGGCTGATTTCTGTGCCACAAGGCAATGCAGGGGCAGCGCACAGCACAGAGGATTTCGTCTTGATGGTCAAGGCTGCAGTTGCAGTAACTGTCTCTTAGGTCTGCTGACTACAAGGTTGTTCTTACCTAATGGGACTCTGGCAGGAACTGCTCTGCGATCAATCCAGAAAGACACCCAGGACAACATGACCATGAGGGTGGCGGGGAAGTAGGTTTGGAGCAAAAAGAAGAAGATGTGTCGGCGTAAAGTGAAGTTTATGTAGAGGCGATTGTACCACCCTGTATAACAGTGAGAAGGAAAAAGAGAAGTCACACCAACATCAAACTGCTTTCAGATAAGGCGATGTTGTGTCAGGGGAATAGCACCTCATTTGCTTTTAGAAAAACACGGTTCGTGACCACAGACCATTGCAGTTTACAGAAAAGACTCCTTACTGAACCAACTATCAAAGTCAAAACATCTTTCAGGACCAGGTCTTCCATAGAAGATCATATAACCTGTGCACCCAGAGAGTTTAATTCATGTTAAGGCTTGGTGTGTTCTTGAAGAGTGATTGCCTTTCCAGACCATATAGCCATCAAGATGGAAGTCTGTGTCAGGGACAGCAGCCTCAACATGAAAGAGAGGGCAGGTCTGATGGGCCACAGGGAGACCTCCCAATGGACAATCCTCCATGGCCAAGGTTGAGAGGGATGGTTTGCACCACTTCTTCTCCCAGCCCACCCTCTGGCAGGCACTCCAGTACACACCTGTGCTGCTGTAGAAGGCGAGCTTTGTGGTGGTGTGAAACTCCTGGATGAGGAACTGGGACAGCGATATCCTCTCATCTGTTTTTAGGGAATCGTTCCCATTCTTCCAGTAGAGCATGAGGTCGTCTTCAGTGTAGGCATCTAGGGAAGCAGAGCAAACCTCGGTGCAATGCACTGAGCCAGCTGCTATCGCACCCACAGTCCGGGGTGTGCCCACACACCTTCCGGGCTACCTGTGAGATCCTGGTTGAAAGGGCCAGATGCCACCACCCAGCTGAGAACCACAACAATGGTGAGTACAACTGTGGCAAGGAGTGGACTAGCTCATTAACACAGCCCTTGATCGTGATGCCTGGTGCATTTTATAAACAATTTTGTTTCTCTAATCACAATTTTGCACACATAACCCATATGTCAGGTAACCCACCACATCAGAACTTGAAAACCTGTCCCTTCTAAATGTCCTAAAATCAGAAGCAAAGGAAAGGAGACTTAGAGGAAAAAGCCTGCTTGGGATAACAGGAGGAACAATCTATCAGTGGTCTGAGGCATGCAGGAAGAAAAACTCTTGGGTAAAATTTCTGCCTGTGATGTACACATGAACATTACAGGTCTTGGGTTTTTAACACATGTGGAAATATAGTAATGTTAATACTTTCAGATGGGTTTAGCAGCAGTTCCTTCCAGACAGGGAGAAAAAAACACGCATAAATATATTAAAACAGAGTAATATAATTTCTTATTGCAAGCTTAAGAAAAAGAAGAAAAAACCTCCTAAAAAGCTAGAAGTTTAAAATGTCGCTGTCTGAAATCTAGCCAATTCCTACGTGTGTCATATTTGGGACAAAGGAGCTACATGTGTGTATAAGCTGGGTTTATCTCAAATAAGTGTGAGGAACGTAAGAGGGAGGCAGTTAATGTCACTGCTCTGTCATGGTTTCTACACCATGGATGAGCAGATGGTGCATGTGAAGGGCGTCAGGCCATTTATTTATGTGTTTGAGGGCACCTGGGCACGTGGGTGCTGCTGGAGACTCCTGACCTACAGGCAAGTGGCCCAAGTCCTCTGGTGATGGGGTGGCAGCAGGGCAGCCTGGCTGGCTTTCGGGGACACTGGCAAGGCAGCTCACAGCTAGTGTTTAAAAACACTGTGTTGTTGCAAACGCCATCCAATTCTAGTGAAAAAATATGGGCAAGGAGTTTTTCTTAGAGTTGAAGTCTGCTGACTTTAGTTAGAGCTCCCATGAATGTAGCAGCAGTTTAATTATTGGTATAATTATTGATATAATTAAATAAAGTTTGGGCATCCATGGAGGGGAGGCTACACCTCCACTTTACTTACAGCTTTCAATCTCCAGGGAGCACGTCTGTGTGTCCAGGGGAAAGCGACTAAAATCCATATTGCACATTGCTGTTACTGTAACTCTAGAAATAAAAAAAAACCACTCCATTAAGAATTTGTCTTCTTATGTGATTGAAAAATAGTAAAGCTGTGAGTTTGATTTTTTATTAAGTAACTATCTGGCCAGTAACAGTCCATTGAAAATAAATACCTTCCATCCAGCTAAAGCCATTCCACTTTAGGTAAAACCATTTCTTCTTCTCAGCAAACTAGTGTTAGAAAAGATGACTAGAAAGTTAGGCCGTTACAACTTGCTACTAGATGACAAAAATACTGGAGAAGAAAATAGGAAAGGGCAGAGAGGGCACTTCTTCCTCTTTGACTATCAGCCAACATCTTTCTGCAGAGACCTGTGCTTTCAATGGATGCTTTGTACAATAAAATAATTGACATTTATCAAAGCCATGAGGGATGCAGGTGGCTTTGTCCACACACCGCGAATTTCCAGCTGCTCAATGAAAGCTCAGTGATCACCGCTGGGTATCAGCCACCAGAGGGCCCAGGCAGTGCCTCGAGTAAGGGCTGGAGCCGGTATGCAACCGAGACCACTGAAGTGCTCTGCCCCATCAATCAAAAGCTCTGGTCTTGCTATAGCCTGATTGTCTCATTTTTAATAGTACAATTTTGTGTTTGCACTGGAAACATCTGTAACTCTTGACTCAGCTGTCTTGAACTCTAGGGAAGTAAATGAAAATAGAAGTATAAATCATACTGAGGAAATAATGAATTATAGCAGGGCTAATGGTAGACAGATGTCTGTCACATAATGATAAAAACAAGGTGCAGTCCCTTATGTTGGTAGTCCTTTTGCATGTGCAGGTTCCCACTGATGTTGCTTTCCTATCTGAATTTAGTCCTTGAGTGAAAGTGCTTGGCTCAGATTTGTTGTTTAAGTGCCAGTGAGGTCTATAGAGGTTTCCAAGACAAGACAAAGTCTGGCAAAGAACCTTGAAAAGACAGACACCAAAGAAAAAATATGCAGGCAAAGGCATTCAGCAGAGGCAGGCAGGCAGTAATGACCCACTTGCTCTTAAAGGGGAGATCATTCATACTTGCCTAGCATTCATACAACACTCCAACCTGCAGTCACTGAATAAAATAATAAAATTCTGTCAGTTTTGCTATTCAAGACTTTCACCACCATTTTGTGCAGGATAATTGTTTAAGCACAAGACTGTGTATGGCAGGATCTGTGCAGTTTGATATTCTTCTGTTCCCACCTTCTTTAGACAACCATAAATGCTTGCAACACAGATGATTGTTTTCATGCAGCTAAATGAAAGAGCACATAGGCATGCATGCTATAGCTGAACTTTATGTCATTTTATTATCCTTTTTAATTGTACTAAGGACCTGAGCAAACATTGTAGAGGCCTAAGGAACACCTGAACCTTGTCTAATACGGTGAGTGAAGAAAAAGCTTTAATAATGAGAAGGCAGACACTGTTCAGGCTGTGAATTCAAACGAACAGTAAGATTAAAATATCAGAGAACAAGAAAATTCTTGCAAACTGATACCCCACAGGGAATCAAGAATTGCTTTTCTTGCGTTCGTTTCATAAAATCATAAAACACCTCATGACAGGCTCAGCTATACCTCTGCCAATCCTAAGGTTGCTGTCTAACATGCCCTTAAAGACCTCCACAGCCTTCTCAAGCATTGTGTTCTGCAACATGATCATTAGTTAAAGTTAAATCTATGCATCTTGCTGCTATTGACCTCCTATCAGTGAGATTTACCTTATTTTTTGTCCTTCAGAATACATTATCTATCATCTGATACTTTGTTTATTTATCATGAATTTTGCTATTTCATTGCCTTGGAGGTGATGTCGACATTCTTGCATCAGAATATTGTACAGCAATTTCCTCTCTAATAGGTTTTTATGGGTCATTTGGCAATACTTCTTTTCTAACTGGATGGAGCTACAGCCAAGAAAAACAGACATATTTGATTTTAGTTTCTTTTGGAGATTGACAGATGCCCTTACTTAGCATCGCCAAGCATGAAAGTAACAATTAGAAAGAAGAAAAATAGCTTTTAATCATCTTCAGCCTTATGGTCAGCAACATTCAAGGGAAGTAGGTGTCTAAGCTGGAAGCAGCAACCCTGAGCCCACCGCCCCACCCCTTGCCTCTCACTTCACAGTTCCCCAACACTGACAGCTCAGGGGTGCCCCTGCTTGCAGCTACGGACATCCCCAGGCATCTGGTGTCTGCTGCTGCACATTCCCAAGAGGGTCTCCATGTGGGTTGGACTGAGGGTCTCAGTGTCTCATTGACACCTAACACCCCACAAAGTTTCACAGACTGAGCCTACCTACCTGGCCTGTTTGTGCTGAGGAGGGGGATGTCAGAGGAAACCTTGAGAGCAGTCTGTGAGATCCTGTGTTGTTTTTTAATCACCTCCTTGTTTCTGACACCCCCCCATACACCTGCATTACTCTGGAGCAGGAACTATCTTCCTCTCAAAGCTGATCCATCAGTTGGAAAATAAGGGAGAAAGCCAGGGTTAGCATCATGCCTCAAACTAGAGGACAAAACTCCTGCTTGTTCCCACACCCCCTTCAAGGAGCTTTCATGCATTTTACATGAAGTAGTGCACAAAAAGCACAAAGAGTCAATGTCAAGTGTTTGGGTTGCTCTAGGCATACATGTGAGTCATCTTTGCTCTGAAGCTTGTCGTTTCATGTGCTGAAGGATGCTCAGTCTGTCTTGTTGTTTATACTAAAGCTAACGTCATAAAGTTGTTGTCAGTATAACTTATACTTCTTCATAATTACCTTACAAATAGAAATGCACATTTTGTTAGGCCCAGAGACTTTGTTGTATAGTGAAGTAAATAACTACAGCTGCTCTGGACTTCTGTTTATTACTAGATATTGCCCTTTTCCTTAGATAGTGCTTTGCCTCTTCTGGATATCGCAGCCCACTGGTCCCCAGTGAACTGCTCCAAGGGGCTGACCCATCCGGCTGCAGCTTCCCAACAGCAGGAGCAGGGGCTAACTATGCATACAAGGTGAAGGGACACTGGTGGAACCAGCAATGCTGGCGTCCTGCGACAGGCACTTAATGAACTCACACAGGGACTCAGATGTCAGTGGATAGTCAGCACATTCATTCTTTTTTATATTTTTTTAGTATGAAGTTATGCAAGAACAAAATACAGAAATCAGTTACACTGTTTTCTCTCTCCACTAATAGCTCACACTGACTGAATGCAGCTTTACCTGAGGCTATAAAGTACCTTCCCATCTGGCTGGACCCGCAGCATGACGTTGTCTGTGGTGGTGTCGTGGATGAAGGAACGCTTTGAATGGACAAAGAACATGTCGGGGACCCAGATTTTCTTCACCAGCCTGCCATCGAAGGTCATGCTTTGGTTGTTGGTGCTGGGGAAGGATAGCCTCTCGTCTTTCCAGTAGTGCCTCAGATAAAGTGTCATGGTGAAGTCCTGCAACAAAGAGGTCTCTGTCACAACTTAACGCCTTATCTGCATAGCATTGACTTCTCCTCTCTGGGGCAAACCACAAGCTATAAAGCACCATTCCTGAAGGCACATCTGCTCCCTGAGCTGCAGGGGACACAACCAGCTGCAGCTTGTTCATTCCTCGGGTCAGACCAACTTACTGGGTTCAGAAATCAGAGCCCATCCAGGTGGCAAATCCACCTTTGAAATGCAAACGTTGCATTTTGGTGTCTGCAACCCCCTCCAAGGACCAAAAGGCAGACAAGCCGAGGCAGCGGTAGCTGGAGAGTGCTGCCAGTCACTCATTTCCCCAACCCTATCATGCTGCATTTCTGGATCCCACAGTGAAGAAGCGTTTGCTGCCCGCACTGCCCTCCGCACTGCTCTGGCAACTACTTCCCGCCGGGCAGCTGGAGGAGCGTGCTGCAGTGGGAGCTCTTCCTCCAGCACAGCCACTGAAATTTTTTTGACTCAGTATTTGACCAAAGTAGTTGGGTTTTTTTCCTCTTTCTCCCCAGATATTGTACTCTTAAATCTGAGGAACTCTCCTTCTCTTTGAGCTCTGTTGTATTTGGAGCCTGACCCCAGAGGCACGTACACTTGGGTTTGCCTTTTTCCTTATTTCAAAGGAACCCTTTACATATCTAAAGATAAGCTCATGCACAAAGAGCTTATAAGCATGGTATCTTCCACTGTAATGTAATGTATTGCCCATAAACTCAGGGAAGTGTCTAAGACTGATCAGTCTGCCCTGGTGACTGGAGTAGAGGAGGCCAGGTGGGTTTGGGATGGCTTTTTGAAATTATTAGACATTTGCATTTTTTTCTCCACAACACTTTCCAAGCATTTTGAAATATGAGGGTTTCTGCAGTCCTTTTTCCGTAGAAGTAGTTTGTTAACTGCAGCCTGTGCTATTATTACACTAAAGGCCAATATAATTCTTGGAAATGCTTTATACCACATCCAGCTGAAGCTCCCAAAGCCACTGACCAGGTAATTTCTTCTTTTTCATTTGATCTGTTCTATAGCATTTTTTAAACACCTTTCCCCTGTATTCAAATTTAAAGAAGATCGTTCTGGGAAACCTCTTACATTGACTCCTATCTGTTAATGTATCCTCTAAACAGTAATAAATTGGCAGGTGTTTGTTCTTCAGAGAGAAGACAATGCCACACTTTTTTGCATGAAGTTACATTAATGGTTGCTGTGGAAAAATCAAGTATTGTCAACTTTCATTAGAAATTATTTATTAACACTAGATTTGGGCTATTAAACTTGGAATCACAATATTTTATAATGCATCATCTGAAAATCCCCCAAGCAACAATCATAATATTTCCCTCTTCTTTCGGTCCACTTCTCTGAGACACTCCCATTATGTTTGCAAATGATTTCCCAGTTCTGAGTAACAATCTGTCTTTTCCTTCTTTCCATTTTTCCTCCAGATAAAACAGCTGCCCCTTACACCTTGCAAAAGCTCTGTTAGTTTCAGGGTCAGTGGTCCATAATAGCTATTTATAAATTTTTTAATTAATTGGACAAGAAGAATCTGATTTGTGACATCCTAATGAAGTTTTATAACGTCCTCTATTATTTTACCACTTTCTTGTAAATAGTCAGAAAGTAGGAGAAAAGGAAAGATTGATATATCTAACTCCTCAAGCTTAAATTTAGGACAAAGTTAAGATCTCTCTCACTGATGTCTCTTCATTTGAAAAGCAAGAAACGATCTTGCAAAGCACCAGAGCCTTTTTCTTTAAAGCTGCACGAGTTAAAAAGAACTGGTTTGGACAATATAGTCTTCTCCATCATTATTTTGCAAACAGTCAAAACTGACCCTGAATGTTTTTTTTACCTGAGGCCATACAGTGCTTTTCCCTTGTTGCTGGGCATTTGTATCATGATGTTGCACGAGGAGCAAAAACCGGAGGAAAGTCTCTCAAAATCACAATGCTTGCTTAAAAAATGAGTACTGTGTTGTTTTGTTTTTGCTTTAAAATCCTGAATGTTAAATTCTTTCCCTTTGCCTTCAAGCGCTGAAGCTTTTCAGGGGCTCTCTGGCCACCTTCACAAAGTTTCTCCTCAACGAGAAAGTCTGGCACCACCCCAGGAGAAGCAAAGTCCCCATGGCTGGTGGTCAGGGTGCCAAGAGCCCGGGAGACAGGGGTGCAGCTGGAGGGCTCCCCAGGGCTGGGGAGAACGTGCATCCTGATGCACCCTGGCTTTGAAACCCTGCTGCACCCTGCGAGTGGTCAGTTGACTGCAGATATCCCGGCCTGCTCGAAAGCTGAAATTGGTGCAGTGAGAGGAGCCCGGCTGGCCACGGCGTGCAAGGTCTCCGCACCCGCTTGCAGCAGCGGCGTGCAACTGGGGGTGGCTGCCAAATGCCAGCTGTGCTGCCACACAACCGTGCTTCTGGCTTAGACACGGGAGGAGGCTGGGCACAGGCTTTTTAACCTTGTGGCCGTTGTTAATTAAGAGCACAGAGAAGTTGGGACTTTCTGTGAGAGCTTCAGAGATGTTTCATACATTTGTTGGAACAGCAAAACATTTTGAAAAGTATTCTGTATTGGGGTGTGATTTTTTTTTTTCCCCTCTTCCAAAGCAAAAGCTGAGCTGCTTAGAGACTCTGGGGGTGCTCTACAGGGTAGGCCTGAAAAGCTGTGGGTCTTGAAAGGGTAAATAAATTTGGTGTAGGTCTTGTGGTGTACATGCAGGGCCACCTCTTGCTCTCCTTCTGTGCTCCTGCTCTCCTACATGGGCTGTTGTTACATGTCATGTATGCATGGAAAATCTCCTGTAGAAATAATATCTTACTTTCAGCAGTGTTTTGAGCTGAAAATATCCCTCCAGCAAAAATCATCAAGACCAAAACTCACTCCACTTTGAGAGCATTTGAAAACTGACCATTTTCACATTACTAATCATACGGTAGGAAACAAAAGACAGATACTCAGTAAGAAATTCAGCCTGTGCGGAGCACCAGCACCTGCGTGCCCCTGAAATCCTTTTTCAGCATCAGCATGAGGATTCAGGAAGGACCAACAGAGCTTTATGCTGGTCCCCAGCACATAACGGGGTTGATACAACTGCTAATGGGCTGAAGGCAGGTTCTGGAGAAATTTCTCCCCTCTGAGCTCATTCTGGCTGCCCTGTCAACAGCAGGATATACCAGTCTGAACCCTCTCAGGATGGCTACATGGTGTCTGATTGAGAGCTAGTTGCTCCCTGACCACCTCAGAGCATGGCCAAGGTGAGGCTGCAGAATATCAAGCGCCTTAAAACTAACACATTAATTGTCTCCTCAGAGATTTTAAATGTGTTATCACTTCTTAAGAAAATGTAAAAATCCAAATTCTTTGGGGCAGTTTTGGCAGTGTTGTATCATTTTGTCCTAGAGAAAAGAAAATGTCATATTTCTTCCTTTTGCCTCAAAGGAGATGAAATAGTAGCATGAGGTCAATAGAAGTAATTGTTGGCCAATTCAGAGCAAACCTGAATCTGCCTTCCACAGGCTGTGGAGTCTCCATCCTTGGAGGTATTCAAACCTCACAGACACGGCCAGGGCAGCTTGCTTTACCCAGCCCTGCTCTCAGCAGGGGTTTGGGCTCGATGGACTCCAGAGGTCCCATTTGACCCTAGCCCTTCTGTGACTCTTACCATGTCCACCTCAGAAATGCTGTCCAGACTTTCAACTTGGACATCTACCCCAACAGGAATTGCAGGGCCTGGGGAGGGGGAAAAAAGAGAAAGCATAAACCTGGTGAGACAAAGTAATCCTCTGTCTTTCGTATCATAGGGATAAAAATAGATGTTCAGTTTGAAATAGAAACAACAGTAAACTAACTGAAAATTAAAAAGTTTGGAATTAATAACAAAAACATCCTAATAATCAAAATCAACAATGAGACTGACCTATTACTGACTTTCTCTTTTTATTGTGTCATCTTACACATGTCCCTTCAAAATTTCAAAGCTAGTGCTTAGGTCCAGGGCTCGCCAGCTGGGTGCCCTGCAGAGCACCCATTCACGCGGAGAGCAGCAGTGGTGCACCTCAGGGGATGTGGGAGGGTTACTCCAAATTTTTCCCTCACTACTTCTGCTCCCATCTTTGCCTAACAACATCTCTTAGAGCTACTCAATGTACTTAGCTTTCACATCACGCAGTGCTTGACTGTAGAAAAGACAGGGTGATGGAAGGGGATGTGTAACAGGACACAGGCATGTGCCACTGAAACTAGGGATTCCAAGGGGAAGTGTTGGGCTGTGACCCCACATAATAGGGATTTTGATCTTTTTTTCCTCCTCCAGGCTTTCACTAGCTCCTCACATACCTCTGGCAATTACAGTACAGGAGCTCTGTCAAGGTAAATAGTGCTCATGTTAGCAGACTGCTATGAAACTGAAACCTTTTTAAATTAATTGAACATGCTGGTATTTGGTATATTGAGAATTTAGCAATAAAATCTTCTTCCATCAGAGTATATAATGGTATCCTGGATTTGAATGACCATCTGTCAGCCAGAAAGGGTAGATAAATTACAACATTCTCTAATCCGATGGGCTGAAAGAAAACGTGTTCTCCTTCATCCATTTCCCTGAAAGCTTAGGTTGCTCTAGCACACAGCCACAAAACTGTGAGCAAGCATTAACACATGGCAGTCAAAATACCTTCTTTTGGATTATAAATGAAATGGACAGGTCAGTAAGCATGGTACATGATTTGATTATAACTTTAAAAAAGGAGGGGCACACCTGCCAGGCTCACCTCTGTGCCTGCCAGGCTCACCTCTGTGCCAGGGAAGATCATGGAACAGCTCCTCCTACAAGCTATGTTAAGGCACATGGAGGACAAGGAGGTGATTCAAGACAGCCAGCATGGCTTCACCAAGGGACAGTCTTGCCTGACCAACCTAGTGGCCTTCTATGATGGAGTGACCACATCAGTGGACAAGAGAAGAGCTATGGATGTTATCTATCTGGACTTCTGTAAAGCCTTTGACATGGTCCCCCACAACATCCTTCTCTCTAACTTGGAGACATATGGATTTGATGGGTGGACTATTGGGTGGATGAGGAGCTGGTTGGATGGTCACATGCAGAGGGTTAGTGGTCAATGGCTCAATGTCCAGATGGAGATCAGTGACGAGTGGTGTCCCTCAGGGGTCTGTATTGGGATCAGTACTCTTCAATATCTTCATCAATGACATGGACAGGGGGATTGAGTGCACCCTCAGCAAGTTTGCAGATGACACCAGGCTGAGTGGTGCAGTTGACATGCCTGAGGGACGGGATGCCATCCAGGGGGACCTGGACAAGCTCAAGGAATGGGCCTGTGTGAACCTCATGAAGGTTGAACAAGGCCAAGTGCCTGCTGCCTGCCTGCGCTGCCTCCTGCCTGCCTGCGCTGCTGCCTGCCTGCCTGCGCTACTGCCTGTGCTGCTGCTGCCTGCCTGCACCACGGCTTGCACTGCTGCCCACTTACCTGCTTGCTTGCCTGCACTGCTGCCTGCACACCCACAAACCACCTGCACTGTTTCCTGCCTGCCCATAACACTGCCTGCACAGCTGCCTGCACTGCTGCCCATGCTGCAGAAAGCAAAGATGTGAGAACCCAAAACAGTCATAGCAAAAACTGTATTATGTTTGTGATTTTGTAGAGGCTTTCCTCTTTTATGGATGTATCTAATATGTTAGTAGATACACTTATTAGTAGATAAGTTAGTAGATCGTTAGCCAGTAAGAATACAGGCTGGGGGATGAAGGGATTGAGAGCAGCCCTGCCCAGAAGGACTTGGGGGTACTGGTGGATGAAAAGCTGGACATGAGCTGTCAATGTGTGCTCGCAGCCCAGAAGGCCAACCATCTCCTGGGCTGCATCCAAAACAGCATGGCCAGCAGGTCGAGGGAGGTGATTCTGCCGCTCTGCTCCACTCTGCTGAGACCCACCTGGAGTCCTGCATCCAGCTCTGGAGCCCTCAGCATAGGAAAGACCTGGACCTGTTGGAGCGGGTCCAGAAGAGGCCACAAAAATGATCAGAGGACTGGAACACCTGTCCTATAAGGACAGGCTGAGAGAGCTGAGTGTTCAGCCTGGAGAAGAGAAGGCTCCGGGGAGACCTTATGGCAGCCTCCCAGTACTTACAGGGCTCTTCTAAGAAAGATGGGGACAGACTTTCCCAGTACTTAAAGGGTACTTATAAGAAAAATGGGGATAGAGTTTTTAGCAGGGCCTGTAGAGACAGGACAAGGGGTAATGGTTTTGAAATAAAAAAGTAGGCAGATTTAGACTACATGTAAGGAAGAAATTTTTCACAAGGAGGGTGGGGAAACTCTTGCACAGGTTGCCCAGAGAGGTCGTAGATGCCCCATCCCTGGAAACATTCCAGGTCAGGTTGGACGGGGCTCTGAGCAGCCTGATCTAGTTGAAGGTGTCCCTGCTCACTGCAGGGGAGTGGACCAGATGGCCTTTAAAGGTCCCTTCCAACCCAAGGATTCTACGATTCTGTGATTGATTCTATGATTATGCAGACACATCGCCAAAGTGAGACGATAGTAAGACGAAATCTTAGAATTTCCCCATCATCTGGGAATAAACATATGGTGTATTTACAGATTTTTGTCAGAAGAAAGTGTCACTGAATACCAGCAATATTATATTGCCTGTAATCGCATTTCCATGCCTTTGACTGCGCTACTTGCTCACCCAAGGAAGAAGGCTCTTTCACTGCACCCCATCCCCCCAAGCATGTCATGAATTCACATCACAAAATAGCAAAGATGAGAGGCAGAAAAGGCTCTGCTTGTTAATCTGCTTGTTCACCTGAGCCCCTGTTACAGAAGTAACATATGAAGAAGTGACAGTGTAAAACAGGAACAGTGACAAATGCGCACGTTTCATACCTCCAAAACCGGGTCTCATGCTGAAGTCATGGTCGTCTATTCGCAGCAGCTGCTCTGACTTTGTCAGCGGAGATTTAGTAATGTCCGGGCTTCGTTTTAGGATTGGGCTACCAGGGAGAGAGAAGCACAGCTATGAGCCCCGAGCGGTGCCCGTGAGAAGTAACGCGCCCGCTTCACTCTGTTACCCCTTAAACCGTTTACCCCTTAGACCATAACCATGCAGTTGCTTGCAGCGGTTGTCAGCGTGTCATTAAAAACGATTCCTGCACTCAACACACAGCTTAGGCACCTGTGACAATCCTGGCACCGAGGAAACATGTTTTGTGACGTTTTGTCTCTGTAAAATTATCTCTGCTTAGAGCCCAGTTTGGAGACAATCATTCAAACGCGTGGGCTGGAGGAATAGTGCGCGGAGATAAGGGGGGAAATGGAAATGGGGGAAGCATTTCAGATATTGATTTATGATGGGGCATGAGGCCAGGAATTAGGGCTACTGTCTCTCAAAGAAGCTACTGGCTGCTGCCCAGGAACAAAATGGGAAGCAGGCCGGGGGGCAGGCCACCCCTAACTTGGGATAAAATGATTAGCTCCTGCCCCGGATTTCTAACGAGGATAAAAAGGAGCATTAAAGTCCTAGGAAGTCTTGGGGCATTAAAGAGACTGGGAGGGTCATTCCAGAA